TGCCTGGCTGCCGGCCGCCATCTTGGCTGACAGTTAATTTGCATATACTCACTGATTAGCCAATGGAAAGGGTAGCGGTCGTACGCTAATTACCATGTTTCTCTTTTATTAGTGTAGATATAATTTGGAAAAAGAATATCTCAGGTAGGAAAAACTACCAAGTGCAGAAGTCCTCAAATAATAATTTTTAAAATGTCCTCAGGCAGGAGAGCACACAATATACTTGGAGACCATCAAGGCAGCCAGTGTGACTAGAGCTCAGTGAACAAGAACAGTGGAAGGAAATGAGATTTGAGAGGCCAAAAGACAGATCATGCAGAATCTTAGAGGAAAAACCAAGCATTTTGGATTCTCATTTAAACTGATAGAAAGCCACTGTAGGGTTTTTTAGTAGGGATGAGTGACAAACTCTGATTTAAGCTTTTACAGGGTGATATTGACACTGATCTTGCTATGTACAAAGTACCATGGGGAAGGGAGACTAGAGGGTGGGGTAATGGAAGATGAGGTGGGGTAATGGGAGGTGGAGTTGGGGTAATGGGAGATGAGGTGGGGGTGGGCAACCAGAATAGAACCAGGAGACTTTTACAATAAACCAGATGAAAGATGATAGAGGCTAAGCTTATGGTAGTGATGGGGCTAGTGGGGGAAAGTCTCATGCAATCTGAATGTAGCACCAACCAGACCTGATGGGCTGAATGTGAACTATGAGGTCAAGAAAAGAATCAAAGACAACTTCCAAATTTTGGTCTGAATAATGGATGGTAGTGCTATTTGCTGACATGGGAAAGATTGGGGAAGAAGCACGCCCAATCAGCGTGGCTCAGTGGTTGAGCATCGACCTGTGAACCAGGAGGTCATGGGTTTGATTCCTGGTCAGGGTATATGCCTGGGTTGCAGAATCAATCTCCAGTGGGGTACATGCAAGTGGCAGCCAATCAATGATTCTCCTTCATCATTGATGCTTCTATCACCACCCCCACCCCCCATCCTCTCTGAAATCAATTGTTTTTTTAAATTGTTTTAAGAAGCAGACTGGGAAGAAAGAAAAAATCCAAAGTACTGTTTTGGATACATTAAATTTAAGAGATCTAAATTTAAGAGATCTATTAGCTATTCAAATGGAAATACTATATACCAATAACTAAAAATAGGAGTCTAGAGCTCAGAAGAAAGGTCAAGACTAGAGAAATAATGTGGGAATAATCAGCATACAGATGGAATGTAAAGCGATACAATCTGATGAGATCACAACAGGTGGAAAAGGCTATAGAACAGTGGTTCTCAACCTTCCAAATGCCGCGACCCTTTAATACAGTTCCTCATGTTGTGGTGACCCCCAATTTCATTGTTACAAATTGAACATAATTAAAGCATAGTGATTAATCAAGAAAACAATATGTAATTATATAAGTGTTTTCCGATGGTCTTAGGCGACTCCTGTGAAAGGGTCATTCGACCCCCAAAGGGGTCGCGACCCACAGGTTGAGAACCGCTGCTATAGCAGGAAAGACTGAAACCTCTGAAGTACAAGTGAGATAGGAAGAAAACCAAGAAAGCACGGTTCAAGAAGCCAAATAATGGAATGATCAACCATGTCAATGAATAGGTTAAGGAAAATGGAGACTGCAAACTGGCCACTGGGTTTGGCCAATGATGAGCATGACTTAAGTGTTTCATTGGAATGATGGGAGACAAAAGCTTGACTGGAGTGGGTTCAAGAAAAATGAAGGGAGAGAAAATGAAAACAAAAGATAAGAACAACACTTTCAAATAGTTTTTTTATAAAGAGGAGCATTCTCCTACTCATAGACAATTATTTCATGTCATTTGCTCTTTTGCCTCAATTACTGCAAGAACCTCTTAACTTGTCTGCTTCCACATACCCATTCGGTCTCAATAAAGTAGCCAAATAGATCAGATTAAAATGAATGTTACCTCAAGTGCTTCCTTTGCTCAAAACTCTCCAATGGCTTCCCATCTCATTTAACATAAATGCTGAAATCCTTACAACTGCCTTCACAATTTGAAACTCTCCACAATCTAGCCCTTCTCTCCCCAAGCTTTCCCCTCTAAGCGCATCTACTACTTTCTCTTATTCCATTCCAGCTACACTGGACTCTTTACTGTACCTCAAAAACAAATTTTAAAGGTAGGAAGCCCAAGGTACTTCCTATTCCCTCTACCAAGTATGCCCTTCTTCGGATAATCTAAATGCTTCTATCTCTTACATCTTTCGGGTTTTTATTCAAATATCCCATTCCAAAGAGATGTCTTTCCTGATAATGCCATTTAAAATCATAATCCCCCATCATTCCATATTCTCTTTCCCTGCTTTATTTTCTTCATAATACTTACCACCATATAACATACTACGTATTTTACTTATTATCTATTTCTCTCTACTAGAATAGAAACTTCATGAAAGCAGAGTTTAAATCTGCCTTTTTCACTGCTATAATCTCAAGAGTACTCAAAAAAAAAAACACGAAGTTTTTGAAAATGTAAACTATTATAGCATATTTATATGTTGATGAGAATCATCAATAGAAAACTAATGATTCAGGAGTATGAAGGAATAATTGTAAGAATAAAACTCTTTTTTTATTTTCTTTATTGATTAAGGTATTACATATGTGTCCTTATCCCCCCATAAGAATAAAACTCTTAATCAGATATAGATTAAGATGGTAGGAACGTACTATTCATACTAATAGAAGGTAAATGATGTGGGTACAGATACAGGAGAGTGGATGATTTATAATGGGAGCTGGTAAAAAGTTCTCTTCTGATTACCTGTTTCTTCCCCCTCAGTGAAACAGGAAGCAAGAACATCCATTAAGAGTCAAGATGAGCCCTAGCCAGTTTGCCTCAGTGGATAGAGTATCAGTCTGCGGACTGAAGGATCCCTGGTTCGATTCCTGTCAAGGGCACGTACTTCAGTTGCACCCTCCAAGCCCTGGTCAGGGGCATGTGAGAGGCAACCAATCAATGTGTCTCTCTCACATCGATGTTTCTCTCTGTCTCTCCCTCTCTCTCTAAAAATCAATGGAAAAATATCCTCGGGTAAGGATTGCTTAAAAAAAAAAAAAAGACAGCCCCAGTGTGGCTCAGTAGTTGAGTGTTGACCCATGAACCAAGAGGTCACAGGTTCGATTCCCGATTCCCAGTCAGGACACATGCCCTGGTTTCTGGCTCAATCTGCAGTGGGGGGCACGCAAAAGCTTGACTGGAGTGGATTCAAGAAAGATGAAGGGAGAGGAAATGAAAGCAAAAGATAAGAACAACTTGCTCTTTTGCCTGAATTACTGCAATCAATGTTTCTCTCATCGATGTTTCTATCTATCCTTCTCCCTTCCTCTCTCTCTAAAAATCAATTTAAAAAAAAAAAGAGTAAAGATGACAAAAACAATGTTCGAAGTTTGAGGAGAGAGGAAAAATTAAACTATCATTTAACAGTGAAGGGACCAGGGAAATGTCACACGAATGACTATCAGTACTGACAGACTCCTTAAGGTCCACGATCACAAATTTTGATGTCAACATGATCATGTTTTCTTACCAGCCACATTCAGCTGCCTAAATACAGGTGAATAGGCAGAATTGGTTTAATTTGTCAAACAAGTATCACAAAAGGGAAAAGAGGCAAGAGAATTGAAGGTACATGCACAGGAAAGATTATGTTAGCCCATGAAATGTTAAGTTGGATAAGGAGAAAAGTAGAGGTAATTGACAATGAAACAATTGTTTAAACAAAAAACAATGATCTGGAGGTTCTAAAGAACTTTGAACAGTTTTTGGAGAGAAATTCTGAAAGGAGTGTGAACTGGAGAAAAGGAAGATGATGTAAAAGTCAGAGTGTGTGGCAAGTTCAAAAATAAAATTTTAGAGGAGAAATTATTATTGGTAAAAATAAAATATACCTAATGAACATGGTATTAGGAGGCTGAGGTTGAGGTCAATTCTTCACACCAATTATTCACTATACATTCATTGTACACATGGTTATAGCACTGAGAAAAGGAAACAGTCTTTGGGTATTAAAATGAGGTACAACGTTAACAAAAAAAGTTGTCAAATATGTCTCACTAACAATACATTATGTGTAAGCCCTTACTCCCAAAAGGCTTGCAGCCTCTGCTCTCCCTTGAGAATTCTTACTCTTCCCCCAGGGCTAACTAGCCCTTGATCCAACAACCCATTTTCAAACCCCCTTGAATCCCAAGTATGTATATTAATGATGAATAACAACCAACACCTACTGATGAAAAGTAATAATTACCAAGGTACCATAGAGATTTCACCAAGAAAGTACAAAGCTAGTTAGCAAATTTAGCAGAGAACCATACAGTAGCTAATATCAGCAATGAAGGAACTATACTCATTGCAATATTTGGCTGCCTCTGATAGTCCTGACTGTAGGTCACCATCAGTAACTGGTGGAAAAGCTTTTAGGGTGATTTTTAGGCTAAGGGGCATTCAGTAGAACAAAGATGGGAAAACTCTGTAAACAATGTGTCCTACCCTCATCAGGAAACACTGTCCAACCTGTTTAACCATCCCAGGCTCTCTGCTCCCAGTACCCTTGAGGAAATCAAATCTTCCCAAGCTAACAGGTTTTCAGGAGCTGGCCCTTACCCATCTTATTTCTGGATAAGAGGAGGAGGAAAGACTGTCAGGCTGTCATGGCTCAATGGTTGAGCGTTGACCTATGAACCAGGAGGTCAAGGTTTGATTCCCAGTCAGGGCACATGCCCAGGTTGTGGACTCAATCCCCTGTGTGGGGCATGCAGGAGGCAGCCGATCAATGATTCTCTCTCATCACTGATGTTTCTATCTCTCTCTCCCTTTCCCTTCCTCTCTAAAGTCAATAATAAAAATATTTTTTTAAAAAAAAGGGGGGGGAGGGAAGACTAATAAACTTTCTGTATTGAAAACTAAGAATTCTCAAATGCCCATGTCTCAATCACCATGTTCTACATTCTATCCCCCACACAATTGCCAGAATAATCCAGCTAAAACACATGTATCACAAGACCATCCGGCTCCCCTATTTACTACCCTTTTATTTAGTACTAAAGATTAAATAAAGAGATGGTGCTGATTTTCATTAAAAAAAATTTTTTTTCCATTTTGAATTGCATGCTATTCTTTTTTTTTTTTAATTTTGTTTTATTGCTTTTACCCCCCAGTGTCTTATGTCCATTAGTTATGCTTATATGCATGCATACAAGTCCTTCGGTTGATCTCTTACTCCCCTCCCTTCTGCCCCCCAACCCTCTCTGGCCTTCCCGCTGCAGTTTGACAATCAGTTTGAGGCAGCTCTGCCTCTGTATCTATTATTGTTCAAAAGTTTGTAATGGTCTTTATTATCCATGAATGAGTGAGATCATGTGGTATTTTTCCTTCATTGACTGGCTTATTTCACTTAGCATAATGCTCTCCAGTTCCATCCATGCTGTTGCAAATGGTAAGAATTCCTTCTTTTTTACAGCAGCATAGTATTCCATTGTGTAGATGTACCACAGTTTTCTAATCCATTCATCTGCTGATGGGCACTTAGGCTGTTTCCAGATCTTCGCTATGGTAAATTGTGCTGCTATTATAAAAAAAAATTTGAAAATTTCTCAATGGTGCTGAGGGAATTCTAGGAACTAAAATTGAACTCCATCTTCCTCCATCCTCAAAAAATGTCTCATTTCCTTTACTTGACTACTTCTATCATAGTACCATTATTACTCCAATCACTCAAATTCAAAATATTTTAATCATTTTCTCTCCCTTCAATAAATAATCACTTATTAGCCCTATTGTGAGCAAAACCCCTGACTATACATTATGGTAAATAAAATGATGATACAGTTCCTATCGTCAATAATTTATAACTTAAAAGCAGAAAAGAAATCTACAAAATAAATACAGAAGTGCTAAAATACTATTCATTCATTCATCCGTTCATTCAGCAAATATTTATTTAGAGCCTACTATATACCTAGGAATGGATAAAACAATGTGCTATAGAAACAAAGTGGGATGAAAATATTTATTAAGTACCTATCTACTATATGCTTTCTAATCATTATTTCATTTAATCTCATAGAGCCCAAGTTTTTACTTTTGTATCATGGAATTGTGAGAACTAGAATTTCAGAAGATTCACAGATTTACTGAAGCCCGATCAAAGATCCTCTTAGGATCCTACATAAAAATAAAACAATTCAAAATTAAAACTTCATAGATAGTTTCTGTGGCACTTGAGTTAGGCCTGGAAGCTTGAGTAGAATTTTAATGGGCAGAGGCAAAGAAGAAAGAGCTTTTCAGATAGATGATTAATTAAAATAAATACATGAAAGTGCCTAGAAATAAATGAATATTTACTGAATGCCCATTACATACCAGTTAAACACTAAAGGCTGAGGATACAATAATGAATAAGATAGCCTCTCAACAGTTTTTTCTCTGATGAGAGACTGACAACCAATTATGGTATTAGTTAGCAAACATCTATTTCAAGCACCAGCACATATCTATGTTTCTAATAATTATTCAGACTAATAACTATGTTTCAAATACAATACTAGGCCTTAGGTATGCAACAGTAAATGAAACAGTCTGACCTGAAAGCGAAATAGACAATTTGTATTTATGCAACAGTGGACACAAAACTAAATCTTGAGAACCAAGAAGGGGCATCTAACTCTGATTCTTCAAAAAGTGGTAAGTATCAAGTAGACCTTGAATGCCAAGGTCTTCAGACTTCATTCTATGGGTATTAAGAAGCTAATGAAGATTACTTAAGATAAAGAAATGATCAATTTAACAAATATCTATCACTGGAACTTGGGTAGGCAATGAGGTCTAATTTTTTTGTAACAGAATGCAGAATAAATTAGAGACTAAAAGCCGAGAAATGCTGTTGAAATATTACAACAGCCAAGACAAAAGTTTATAAATGCTGAATTAAGTTAATGACAATGAGAATAAAGATTTGAAAGATGTCATGAGGTAGAATCAACAGAGCCTGGATAAGGGGATTAAGGGAAAAGGAAAAGTCAAAGACCACCAATACAATTTCAAGTTTGATGACAAAAACAAAGAAAAGACACAGGTAGAAGCACACTTCAAAGGAGAAATAATAGGTTCTATTTTAATGATACAGTAAGCCACTAGAGATCCAAGTCCTGCATCCTGCTCAGAATTTATTCCTAAATGCCAGTATAGTATAAAGCATAACAAGCATTACTCCATGTCATGAGAAATGGAGAACAAAGTCATTGAGAGGTGTATGTTTGTTGATTGGCTAGGCTCCTACTCCCTGAATGAATGGAGCCCATCTAGCCTCTAACACACACAACTGAAATTTTTACCTTTTCAAAATCAAATAATTACAAGTTAGGGACTTTCAAAGATACTATCAAATTATAAAAATCACAAATGCTGGAAACATTAAGCCCAGAAAAGGAAATGTACAGCTAAGGAAAAATGTCAGGCATAGAGTCTAAGATCACTCTACAAAAAGGTTCTGTAACACATGCCATTAATAAAGAGGGCCATAGACCCTTGTTCCACATCCTAAGCACCTGCCACAAATAGGAAAGCCTACTAAAAAACAGAGTACAATTACAGAAAGAGCTAAGGACAGAGGACATATCCTCAAAAAACACTTAGGGGACAGGAAAAGAAAACAAAAAAAAAGACACACAGGAAGCAGTCAGGCAAACAGAAGTGGAATGGATATTATGACCAAAGAAAATATCAAGGAACACACAGTCAATCGTGACAAAGAGGATGAGGACTATGGGAAGACTATCAGATTTAATTATTTAAAGGTTTCTGGGACTGCTACATATCTGTGTAATTCTTTCACAATTAAAACTTTTCACAAGTAGTCATGCATTGCTTTTTAATTTCAAAAGACATTTTAGTATCCATCCTGGTACATTCACACAATGGAAAGCTATACAGCAATGAAAAAGAACCAACTATTTCCACAAGCAACACATAGATGGATTTCACAAACATGATTTGAATAAAAGCATCTAATCACAAGAGTACAAACTGTATGATTCCATTTATATGAAGCTCAAGAAGAGGCAAAACTAATCCATGGTGATAGAGGTTGGGAAAGTGGTTGCCTTTCGAGGATTGCAGGGTATAAAAATGTTCTACATTTTTATCTAAGTAGTGGTCACATGCATATATTCATACCTCAATAAAATAAAACAAAAAATGTACAAAGTTATTGGTGACCTTGAAGACATCAGTTTTGGGAGAGTTAAAGTGCAGAAGCCAAACCATAATATGAGAAATGTATACAAAGTGAGGAAACTGATTCATTTTTCAAGAAGGTTGCTAGTGAAGCAAAGAAGAGATAACAAAGTAGCTTGGGTGGGTTACACAATTCAGGGAAACTGTGTTGTTTTTATTTTATTTGAGATTTAAGGCAAAGAGAAAATAACATACATAACAAGGGCAAATGAGATAAAATGAAACCAAGAGCATTAATAGAGGGATTAGCTTCAGAGAGGAGGATGAATACTTTTCTCTGAGAT